CTCACACCCTCCAGAACATGTATGGCTGCGACCTGGGACCCGATGGGAGCCTCCTCCGCGGGTATGAGCAATACGCCTACGATGGCGCCGACTACATCGCCCTGAACGAGGACATGACCTCCTGGACCGTGGCCGACATGGCGGCTCAGATCTCCAAGCGCAAGTGGGAGGCGGAGGGTTGGGCAGAGCGTTTGAGGAGCTACCTGGAGGGAACCTGCATGCAGTGGCTCCGCATTTACCTGGAAAAAGGGAAGGAGACCCTGCTGCGCTCAGGTACCAAAGGCCCTGGGGTCGCCCCCTCTCCCAGGGGCGGGGGCTCCTACAAGGAGACAGGACAGGGGGTCAGTGTCAGACACCCCTCCTTGGGTCAGGGAGGGAGCCTCCTGGATGTCAGGTCAGGTACCAGAGGGACCCCCCTCCTCTCAGGGACAGTTAGGGGTGCAGGTTCTCCTGGGGTGCAGGGAGACGCCCCTGAAATAGCCCATCAGCGGTTCCCATGGGCCCTGCAGGGGCTCTGGGACCCACGGAGACCTTCTCTCTCAGGCCTTGTGCGCTGCCCACACCCACTGTGTCTGAGGCCTCACCCCAGCTTTTCTGAGTCACGTGGCCTCCACCCCGATCAGGACCACAAATCCCTTTTCTCCCCTCAGAGACTTGCCTCCTGCCCTGGGCTGTGTCTCTGATTCTAAAACTTTCTAAAGACGAGGAGGGCCTTCCAGGTGCCTCTGTCCATGCTGGTGTGTGGGCTGTGTGCTCCCTCCCACACCCCAGGTGTCTGTCCACTCTCAGGATGGTCACATGGGCGCTGCTGGAGTGTCCCATGGTGGATGCAAAGTTCCTGCATTTTCTCCCCTCCCCTCAGACCCTCCAAAGGCACACGTGACCCACCACCCAGTCTCTGCCCGTGAGGTCACCCTGAGGTGCTGGGCGCTGGGCTTCTACCCTGCGGACATCACCCTGACCTGGCAGCGTGACGGGGAGGACCAGACCCAGGACATGGAGCTGGTGGAGACCAGGCCTGCGGGGGACGGCACCTTCCAGAAGTGGGCGGCCGTGGGGGTGCCCCCTGGAGAGGAGCAGAGATACACGTGCCACGTGCAGCATGAGGGGCTGCCCGAGCCCCTGACCCTGAGATGGGGTGAGGAGGGACCGTGGGCACAGAGCCTCTTCTCAGGGCAGCAGGGGCCCTGGGGGACCTCAGTGGGGTCAGGGCTGAGGCCTGGGGTCAGGCCCCTCACCTTCCTTTCCCTTCTCCTCCCAGAGCCACATTCTCACACCTTCATCTTCATCATCATGGGCATCGCTGGGGGCCTGGTTCAGCTGGGAGCCGTGGCTGGAGCTGTGATGTGGGGGAGGAGGCACTCAGGTGGGCAGGGGTGGTGTCTGAGTGTCTGTCCCACTGGGGTTCAAGCCCAGGTAGACGTGAGTCCCGCCTCCTTCACAGGAAGCACCATCCCCATGCGTGTGATGGCCAGTGTGAGGCTCTGTGCTCACACTTACTCTGTAGTGAGGCCCGT